TCTTATCAAACTGAGCAAGATGATGCGTTGGCATAAATATATTCCCTAAAAAGCAAATAACACAAAGATACTTTAAGCGCTGGAAATTTAATGCTGCAGTAATTTACATAGTAGATATATATATATATATAGGAACGGGTACTTTAAAAACTCATTTTCATGCTTGACTGTCACCATAAGTACATAATTGTGTCTAATTGAATGAAAAGGACTTTTATTTCGGTGCTTTAATTCATTCATAACTACACATGTATGTGGGAGGTCTCTTTCTATATTAAAGGGATAAAGAGGAGTTTACACAACACTGACAAAGGATCTTTTCAGGGCGACAATATTTTGCTAGGGACTTATTCTTTTATGTTTTATTTATTATACTTGATAAATGTTTTCTACACCTTGATATAGTTAGACTGTTTGTAATCCATACTTACGCTTTCTGACTCTAATGACCAGATTTGTAAAAGATGTTTTGGAGGGCAACCCACTGTGTGTTGAAGGGACATTGTCAGTACTTTTGAGTCAAATATAAAGATATCGGTTTTCATTCAGTACACAATCATGTCTGTCATCTATAAATGAAATGGAAATGGGGTTTAAGGTCCTACTTTTCTGGACCATCTGGGCTAATATGGGCATATATATGGGAAATTGTTACCAAACAGTGGCGTTTATGCCTAGTCTTCATCAAATTCCAAATCCAAAAGCTTTTAAGAGCATGCACTAATGTGTCCCCTCCCCTGTTATAATTGGGTCTTGTAAAAGTTGCCTTTACCTACAAGAATAACATACCTCTATGGACTGCTTGGATGACTTTCCTGTTTTGGGCATGTTTTATTGCCTGGCAACCCATCTTTGTTCTTTTTGTCAATAACTGTTAAATGCTTCGTCCCAACTTACACTAGAGACCAAATGTTAAAAGGTGAACAGTGATATTCTATCTTCGTTCAAAGAACATAATTTTCATTTTTTATTAATAAAATTATGTTATTTTAGTCGAAAGTCTCAAGGATGGCTAAATAAACATTATAGAAAACAAATCGGGTACAAGTTTTGTACAGATAAAAGAATTCAATATTAGTCATAAGAACATCAGCTTTCTACTTTTCTAGAATGGAGCAGTGGGATCCATGATACGAACTTTGAATATACTCATTTACAAGATGAAAAAACTCTTTGATGTGCTTTTAAGGGAGGTTAAATTAGGAAACTATAATGAGATCAGTAAAAAAATTAATGTTCATGTTTGAAGCATAAGTAGATGGCTAAATCGTCATCCAATAAAATGGAGACTCTACTTGGTCTATATACCAATTACTAACGAGTAAATATTATGTTTTTCTTGGAGTCTATTTGTCGAAGTTATCTCGGTTTTAATTGAACAAATAAAGACATAGTCAAGGACTTGATGATCTGTGAAAATTTGGAGGATATGACACAAATTATAGGGTTAAGTTTAAGAGTGACCCAGTTCAAGGTGTGTTTGAATAACAAAATGTGTCAAGTTTTGTCTGGGCCTATTGTCGAAACGTATAATGGATCCGAAGGTAAAAGTTCTCATGAAATGGTTTACTGTTTGCACCCAAATTATCACACAGTATTCTTAAATATATCAAGGGAAAGACAGATATCTATTCAACAATCTTTTGAATAGATTATGGAAATAAAAAGGAAATGAGGTTTAACCTCTTTCTGTTCTGCACCGATGGGGGTTACTAAAGACGGGTATTTGCCATGTGCGAAATCTTACCTGGAGAGCAGCATTGCTGCTTACTTTTCATCAAATTCCATAAATCAAGGGTTCTTTTACGTGTACATCAATGTGAACACGTCCGGGGCGGATAAAGGAGGGGGAAGGGTCCAACCTTCCCCCCCCCCCCCTTTTCAGCTACATAAAAACAATTGTAAAACAACACTTTTTATGAGAAAAGTGTCATGGTTGTGTGCTTTATCCCTTATCATTGGATGGGATGGGCATTCAAAGCGCAAGATAATGACATGTGATATCACAATTAATGCTTTGCATCAATGAAATTGAATCACAATGTGATCCTATTAATTCATAATAAAAATTTACGGCAAACAGGGTGTTTGATTTCACTGTTTAAAAAGCTCAGTGTGTATGTATGCCTATGTGATTTAGAGACGATGATGGCCTCATGCATTGTCAACTGCCAAATTTCCTTAACAGGAACCAGACAAACCCCCTCCTGCAAAAATTCTGGGATCCACCCCTGACACATGTGGACCTCTGATTTTCATCCCACTAAACAACAAGAATTCGTTTGAAAGTGGAAGCATTAATTAGACCAGACTGGTTTTTTTGAATTGATGGTTTGAGTCATTTGGTCTACTTCAAGTCTACAGACAGGTTAAATGTCATATCCGCTTGAAAATGATCCTGCTTTATAATTTCTATTAAAGGATTACATGGTTTTAACTGACAAACACCTTGTTACAAATATACACTATCAAATTGTTTTATTTACCATTGAGCTATTTCTATAGAGGAAATGGAGTATTAACAAGATTAGATCTATCCCTATTTGACTTGAGCCGTTATTTAATATTGATGATACCTCTACATTTCACTAACTGATACTGTAAAAAAAAAAGGATCTGCATACGAACAAGCATTAAGCATGGATAAAGAATTCAAATTTATTGATCGACAAAGAGTTAACTGACACTTAAGATGCTGACTTTTGTTGTTAGAATTTGTATCAGATGTTACATGTACATGATGATGAATGAAACCTTGAAATGGCAAGTTTCAGAGTATAACTGACTTGGTGTTTTACTTCTTGTACAGGAGTTGTTGCTGCTGCTGCTACTGCTGCTGCTGTTGCTGTTGTTGTTTATTACATGGGGGTCACGGTGGCTAAATGGGTAAGACGCTGGCTCGCTTGCCTGTAGGTCAGGTGTTCGATCCCTGCATTGGCCAAGAAAGTTCATCCAGATTTTACGGCGTGGTTTCCCCCTTGTCAGTGATGCAGGTCGGAGAGCCTGACAAGGACAGTTGTCTAGTCGTTCGGATGGTACGAAAAACCAAGGTCACGTGTACACATTGGCATGCAAGTAAAAGATCCATTTGATAGTTGGAATTCGATATAAGAGTAGGCCGTAGTGCCACTGTCTGGGCAAAATTTCCCTCATACCACACTGTATGTGTATGCCCGTCTTCATTAGCCCAGTTCGGAGCAGAACAGTAGGACATTAAACCCATTTCATTTCTGTTTATTGCAAATTTAATATCCAATACATAATACTTTACATGATATTATAGACAGGTTGATTTAATAGGAAGGAGTAATAAAATAATTGATAAAAACATAAAAAAGTTCTTGTGTATCAAAGTTTCACAATGGTTAAATTCACTGTCGTTATAACAGAGGGTGGGTCATCTCCCTTCGGTCATAATAAAATCTAGTTAAAACAGGAGGTCTAGCAGAGTGATGGTACAAGAGTCTAATTAATGAACACTTAAACTAAAATATTTTAAGGATGTAGACATGTCAATGGTTGAGAGTTAAAGTTCTAGACCAAATTTGAGCTCTTGGTCAATGCGAGGTCTAAATTCTTAAAATATTTTAAATTAAGTTTTGTGAATACCAGGCTCTGAGTTCACTTAGGCTTAAGTTAAGAATTTACTCAATTTTCAATCATTGTTATGAGAAAAATCTTTGATCCAGAAACACAAAGCATTCTTAGGCTTATGTTAAGAATTTACTCAATTTTCAATCATTGTTATGAGAAATATCTTTGATCCAGAAACCCAAAACTTATTGATGTAGGGGGGTTGGATGGCTTAGTGGTTAGCACGTGCGCGCTGTATCATTAAGTCTGTCATTGAGTCAACTGGTGTGGTTTCGAATCCCCGGTTGTACGTGACAAGGAGTAGGGTCGCCTGTCCAACCTCATGGGTTTTCTCCGGGTCCTCCGGTTTCCTCCCACTGCTAAAGACCCCTACGCGCAAGCGAATTATGGAAATAAAATTGAACCATATGTTAGTCCCGAAATGACCTAGTTTGTGTCGAGTGGACGTTAAACTCTCTCTCTCTCTTATTGATGTATTTGATACATTAAAACAACCAAAAGTTTTTAAAGGTTATATTCGATCCCTGCATTGGCCGAGAAAGTTCATCCAGATTTTCCAGCGTGGTTCTCCCTTGTCAGTGATGCAGGACAGAGGGGCTGACAAGGACAGCTGTCTAGTCGTTCGGATGGGACGAAAAACCAAGGTCCTGTGTACACATTGGCGTGCACGTAAAAGATCCCTTGACAGTTGGAATTCGATAGAAGAGTAGGCCGTAATGCCGCTGTCCGGGCAAAATTTCCCTCATAGTACACTGTATGGCGTATGCCCGTCTTCATTGGCCCAGTTCGGAGCAAAACAGTAGGACGTTAAACCCCATTTCATTTCATTTCATTAAAGGCTTTATTTTAGTTAAAGTCAGGCGAACAATTCTAAGTAAATTCTTAACTTCAGCCTGGAAATGCATTCTTAGGCTTATGTTAAGAATTTACTCAATTTTCAATCATTGTTATGAGAAATATCTTTGATCCAGAAACCCAAAACTTATTGATGTATTTGATACATTAAAACAACCAAAAGTTTTTAAAGGCTATATTTTAGTTAAAATCAGGCGAACCATTCTAAGTAAATTCTTAACTTCAGCCTGGGAATGCTTTGTGAACTCGGGGCCTGGTGTTTGGAAGTGAAAGGTGGAAGTAAACCCGAGGAAGAGTTTAATGTCCTAAACAACTAGGTCATTTTGAGACTAAAATGGATTATTTTTATTTCAATAATTCACTTGCATGTAGGGGTCTTCAGTAATAGGATGAAATCTGAGGACCAGGAGAAAAAACCACGATGTTAGTCAGCTCCTTGTCCTATATAAGCCTGGGATCAAATCAAAACCATACCACTTGACTCAACGAAAGAACTTAGTCCAACCTCCCAATTTACACCCAAATTGACATTTTACTTCTTTTTTTTTTAGATTTGTGTACTGAGTAAGGGCAGTGGAAGACACTCTGTTCTGCTTGATCCGTCTGGAAAAGAATCGTCTAGTCAAGGTGTGTATGGTAAGTTAAATGACTGCACTAGGATGAATGAAAAGAGTCAATGGCTTGAGAAGTTGATCGAGTACATAAGTCATATGGTTGTATCTTGTAACCACTTTAACCATAGATTTAGTTAATCTGTTCATTTCAAATGAAAGGAGTTAAAGGCTTGACAAGTTGATTGAGTACACTATCTTAATATGGGAACTACAGTTGCTCAGTGATTAAGGTGCAGGCTCCCTAACCAAGAGGTCTCGGGTTCGATCCTGGTGTTGGCTGGGAAAGGAAATTTTCCAGCATGCTTCCCCCATGTTTATGGTGTAGAGTGGAAGTCCTAGCAAGGAATGTCTAGTTATTCGGATGAAACATTAAATCGATGTCATGTAAAGGAACTGTTGAAATTTGATCAAGAAGAGTTGGCCAATTTTCCCACAATGTACACGAAATGGCATAAGCCTACCTTTATTGACGGTGTTAAAAGTAGGATGTTTGAAAGACATTTTAATTACACTGTATCTAATAACCACTTAGTTACTTTAAACCATAATTTCAAATGTGTGACTTGATAGAGGTGACAAATTATTTCAATAATAAAAAGAACTAATAAAGATCATTATGTGTATATGAAAATGTGGCTCCATCATTGTCTGTCAAACTTTGTGGGTTTTCTCCGGGTCCTCTGGTTTACTCCCACTACTAAAGACCCCTAATTAAACCACATGTTAGTCTTGAAAAGACCTAGTTCGTGTTAACTGGACATTAAACCTAATTTCTGTCTCTTTTTTATCAGAATTTTAGCCATTGGTAGAAAATGGAGCAGTATGAAAATATGCAAACTTTGTGATTGTCTGCATATATGGCCCGTGTTTCACTTTGTTGAACCTTGTGAATGCTCTAACATCAAAATTTATCATCCAATTAATATCAATGTCTTGTAAATGGTCCCATTACCTACAAAAGATTAAATGTGCAACAACCCTTGTCAACTGTTTTGATGATTTAGCTGCCGTGGGCTTATGTTTTGTTGCCTGGCACCCTATGTTTTGGTTGATGTATGACATGGCACCTGATGTACCAGTAGCTTGATCAGTACTCTTTACAGAGTTCTGTTTTAAACATTGTCTATTCAGGAGTCATCTGCATACTCAAATTGTGTGTAATTGATCACTGAAAAGTCTCTTAACCAATCAGAATCGGGTACACATTATTAGTGTCTGTTCAAGATATCTTTATCAACCTTTTATAATAGATGTTGATTTAATAATTTTTGTGTTTCTGAGGCAACAAATTCGATTTTGATATTCAGGAGTGCAGGATACTGATGACTACCTCTTCTCATTATATTTAATAAGATTTTAGTGTTTGGTTCATCACTAGTGCACTTGAAATATGCGTGTACAGCTTACATATGAAATAAAGTCTACAGATGTGTGCAAAAAGATAAACCATAAAAATACCACTTGGAGTTATACTTATTATATAAGGATAAGATGCACGAGTGCATATTTATTTGAACTTGAGTTTCTTGACATCACGATAATTGCTAGTTATAAGAGATCTTCACTTTTTTAAGTTGCTTAGATGAAGGTTGCAAATGGCATATTCAATTAAGTATGAGAGAAGTAATTTCTACTTGAATATAAGGACAAAAAAAAAAAAAAATAATAGTTGTGCTTTCGCCTTACAGTCACCAGACTGATGCTATTTAGTCAAAATTGCTGACGCTAAACCTTTTGTCCTATTTCCCAGAGTCCTATAAATCTGTTTTTGCGTGGTTTTCTATAAATTCCAACACAGACATTCAGGTGTTCACAACAATCTGAATCTACATTATTTTCAAGAACCTAAGTAATTAAATTAGAAATGCTAGGAAATAAATAACAAACACTTTACAGTATTAAAATGACAAGACCAAGAAATGAAATGAAATGGGGTTTAACGTCCTACTGTTCTGCTCCTATACTGGGCTAATGAAGACGGGCATACGCCATACAGTGTGCTATGAGGGACATTTTGCCCGGGCAGCGGCACTATCGCCTACTCTTATATCGAATTCCAACTGCCAGGGGATCTTTTACGTGCATTCCAATATATACTCGGGACCTCGGTTTTTCGTCTCATCTGAAGGACTAGACAGCTGTCCTTGTCATGTTGGTTATTAAAACATTAATATAATGTGCTCTAGGACTGCACCACACATAATTTACACAAAAACAAATATATGGACAAGACATATTACGCAGAAATCACAAACAAACGCACAATTCAAATAAAGAGAATGGATCCGGGGGCTAGCCATAAGCGTCCAGCCATCCACTGCGCTTTACAGTCCCGGGCCTGTATTAGTTCAGTTAGTTCCATCCAAACCCCATGGAAAACAAAGAAAAAAATTTCCAGCGACCAACCCTGTTTTGGGGGCCAAGTAGCCTAACCATAAACACTTGTATTATTTTGTTTTGGCCTAATAGAAATATGTTAAATAGTTTCATTTGTAATAATTATTTATTATATTTTGGCATAAAACTGGATATTAATGAATATCTGTGGTTTATATTCAAATACCAGGAATTATCAACACTGCAGGAAACTTCCCTTAATTATCATTTAAATATCATTTAATAACCAGAAACAGATAGAAGATATATCTGTAGACTTAATTATATTTCTATTTTTAACTCTCTTTTAAACAATGTGTTACGCAGGCTCAATAAGTGAGGTGCTGGGTATGACCACCAGAACATCCTGGGCTTGATCCTTGTGTTGGCCGAGAAGGTCAGTGGTGCAGAATAGAGGGCCGAGGAAGGAACAGCTTCTATTCCATCATATGGATCAAAAAATGAGGTCCTGCAGCAAGCTATGAATTTGACATTTATAAAGACCTTTCCATCTACTCCTCGACTGTCAAGGGTTCTTATACATGTATGTGCACACAAACTTCTACACAGGAACTTTTTTTTTTTGTCATATCCAAAAGACTAGACAGTGTTCCTCGCCAGGCCATCCATGCTGCAAGAGCAAATACAATAATAAAGATGTTAGCCAACAAATGGCCCAACATTTTTTTTATTGGTGCAAATATGATTCATTTAAAGGGTTGATATGAAATAAAATGTTTTATTGAGTGTGAATAAAAGAGAAATGTAACGGAAATAGTTCACCACTTATATATGTAGTAAAGAGGCTTGTTGGTGGCGACAGGAAATTCTTAAGTACTATACTTGACATGACAATAAGTTACGAATATAAGTTGATCAATGTAAGATATCCATGAGGTAGGTATAAGGACAATACAGTCTGAAGTAATAAATGTTACAGTTATAAATGGAGAAAGTAGACCCACCTACTCCTATGCCCACTTTTTATAGACTATCTTTTTACTATGTATTACCGTGTCTTAATTATAATATTTACTATATGTTACAGTATATTAATTATCATAGCACTAGTAATATTTACTATGGTATATTAATTATCATAACTAGTTTATAGACTGTCTTATTTACTGTGTATTATAGTGTTACAATGTATTGAATCAATGTAAATACTATTGATTATCATATTAGTATAAACTAGTTTATAGACTGTCCTATTTACTGTGTATTACAATGTATTAATTATCATATACTATAAACTAGTTCATGATAGTATTTACTGATTGTTGTGTAATAATTATCATATACTATAAATTAATTTATGATAGTATTTACTATGTATTATTTAGCATAGTACTATACTAGTTTATTATAGTATTTATTATGTATTACTCTGTATTATAATGGGACTATAAACTATTTTATCATAATATTTACTATGTGTTACAGTGTATTAATTATCATAGACTATAAACTTGATTATTACAGTGTATTGATGTAATTATCTTAGTATTATCAGTTAATACAGTTTATTAATTATGATAGCACTATCAACTAAGTTATGATAGTATTTACAGTGTATTACAGTGTATTAATAATCATAGTACTATACTAGTTCATTATAGTATTTGATAGTATTTATTATGTATTACAATGTAGTTATTATCATAGTACTCTAAGTATATATTAGTTTATAGACTGTCCTATTTACTGTGTATTATAGTGTATTTATTATCACAGTAATATAAACTAGTACATGGTAGTAATTTACTATGTATTACAATATGTATTTATTGCTATAGTATTTCAAACTAGATTATGATAATATTTACTAGCCTATGCATTAAACTGCAATAAAAGATTGGTAATAAAAGGACTACCGCTGGTGATGTTTTAAAAGTTATGTATTACAAATCACCAATTATCTATATATTAAGCGATAGAGCAGCTGGATTTAGAAAAACTTCCGAAACTGTCATGCTTTTCAGTTAAACTGATTTAAAACCCCCACAGATTGTTAATCCAGTGTATCTTTGTTTCTTTATCTATCTAGCTTCTATAAAGCTGGCTTATCTCGGCTGCCTGATTAGTTTGTGAAAATGACAACATAAGCCAATGCATAGTTAACTCTAACCTCTGATCAATGTGGTCAAATAATTAAGATCGTATCCATGTAAAACCTGAAGAGAATACAGGCCATAGTAATAAACTCTCCATCTTCTACATCTTGAAGTTATTTTCTGTAAAGTTTTTATGACAACCCATAAAAATTACATAAAACAGCTATAAAATCAGAATTATTTGGTCATTAATATGTTTTCCATAAAAAAGGTTAATAATATATAAAATATTATTTAATGTTTCCTATATGTAAAATAAATGTAATAAAATTATATATCTTTTGTTAATATGATTTACAGTCTTGGATCCTCTCACATTACCAAAATCTAAATAAAGATCAAATTAGGCGTGTCCAACTTATAATATATATGTACATACTCCATAAAATTTTATTTATCTTATTGGCGAAGACTACTCAGGTACTATTGGATGTGACCCCCCCTGTATTCGAAAATAGTCTAGGGCAAGATTTTATTGCTGTTTCAAAATTTTGTGTGTCAGACATCTTTTTCTAACCAATAAAGGGAT